CCTGTGCCTGCCATGTGCTTATGGCATCCCCGGTGGGACCCATGTCACTGCTGGTGGCACCTGTGTCACCCCACCAATGCCTGCTGCTACCCCACAGCAAATCATGAAGGACAAGTGGATCAACATCGGCTACGAGGGCGATGAGCTGAAACCCTACAAGGAGCCTGAGGAGGACTTTGGGGACGCCAAGCGCATTGGTGAGGGCACGGTGCCACCCTGGCACCCCAGGGTGGGGGTCTGCTGCACTCCAGGGCCTGGCGGTGCCCCCTCACTGTCCCTGCTTCCCGCAGAGGTGATGGTGGGCATGGGCTACACCCGGGAGGAGATCAAGGAGTCCTTGAGCAACCAGAAGTACAACGAGGTGACGGCCACCTACCTCCTGCTGGGCAGGAAGAATGAGGTGAGGTGACAACGTGGTGTCACCGCCATCCCGGCCCTGGGCCGCTGGGCAGGGTCGGTGATGGGCACTGCCGGCCACAGGTGGAGGCAGGAGAGTCACGTACGGGCAGCAGCCTCTCCCTGGCCCGGGTGCGGGCACCCAGCGAGGCAGCCAATGGCACCAGCAAGGTGTCCTCGCACAGCAAGAGCCAGCGCGGTACAACCACCTACCACCGGCAGCGGCGGCACAGCGACTTCTGTGAGTGTCCTGCGTCCCCTGGCCTGTCCCCGGGGCAGGCACTGTGTCCACAGGGTTGGATGGGCATCATGCTTGTGGGGTGCAAAGTAGGGCGGGCTCCAGGGCAGGGTGGGCACCCAGTCCCGTGGCCGTGGGGCACAAGGCAGAGTGCGCTCCATGCCCATGGGGTGGAGGGCAGGGCGGGCACCCTCTCCCACATCCTACAGGGTGGCTGGTCCAGCCGTGCCCCACAGAACAACCCCCCAGGGCACAGTGGGCAGGACCCTTGCCCCGTGTTGTGCCCAGCAGGGAGCAGGCAGGGCTGGCTGCTGCTGCCCACACCTCCCTAAGCCCCCCTGCCTGCAGGTGGCCCCTCGCCGGTGCCCATGCACCCCAAGCGCAGCCCCACCAGCGCGGGCGACACAGAGCTGAAGGAGGAGCGCATGCCCGCCCGCAAGGCCAGCTGCAGCGTGGTGGGCAGTGGGCGCGGGATCCCCCCCTCCAGCCCCATGGTCAGCAGCGCCAACAACCCCAACAAGTCCGAGATCCCCGACCGGCACAAGGACGGCGCCATCAACACGGTGGGCACGGGGGGCGGTGGGCCTGGGGCTGGGGGCAAGGCTTGGGGCGGCGGGTGCTCCTGGGGCTGGGGGAGGTACCCGTGGGGCTGGGGAGCAGGCTGTGGGTACCCATGGAGCTGGGGGAGCAGGGTGCAGGCCCCCCTAGGGCCGCACGGACAGGGTGCAGATGCCCATGGGGCTGAGAAATCAGGGTCGGGGGGCACTCCTAGGGCTGCACAGGCAGGGTTGGGGGCCCCCTGGGACTGGGGAATCGGGGCAGGGAGGGACCCTGGTGCTGATTGCGGCGGGCACCCGGTGCCTTGCAGAACAACCTCCCCTCGAGCGTGATGGCACGCAGGAACACCTACGTCTGCACCGAGCGCCCGGGCGCTGACCGCCACTCGCTGCTGCAGAACGGCAAGGAGAACAGGTAGGGTGGCCAGTGATCCCTAGGGGGGTCCCGTTCCATCTCCCCCCTGCCACCATAACACCTCCCTCCTTCCCATGCCCGCAGCTCTGTCGCCGGCCGGGTGCCCCCGGCGTCACCTTCCAGCCACAGCATTGCCGCTGCCTCCTCGGAGCGGGCCCGCCTGGCGCGGGGCACCACCGTCCGCAGCACCTTCCACGGTGGACAAGTGCGGGATCGGCGAACAGCGGGGGGTCCCAACGGGCCCCCTGCCTCCCCGACGCTGGCACCTGAGGCCTCGCCGCTGCCCCAGAGCCGCTCGCGGGCCACTTCCAACCTCTTCAGCAAGCTGACCTCCAAGCTGACCCGCAGGTGAGGGGGCGGCGGGTGCCGTGCCCGCCCCGCCGGCGCTGCCCTCGCCTTCCTCACTCCCTCTTCTCTCTTCCAGGGTCACTCTTGACCCCTCTAAGCGGCAGAGCTCTAATAGGTGCGTCTCGGGCACCCCCACGCCTCCAGGAGCCAAAATCAGTAAGTGCCCGGTGTCACCGGCGCCTGTCACGGTGCCACTGGTGCTTGTCCCAGTGCCACCAGCGCTCACCCCGGTGCCTGTCCTGGTGCCGCTGGTGTTTGTCCCAGTGCATGTCTTAGTGCTGCCGGTGTTCATCCCGGTGTCTGTCCCGGTGCTGCCGGTGTTTGTCCCGGTGCCTGTCCCAGTGCCACTAGTGTTTGTCCCGGTGCTTGTCCCAGTTCCACTGTTATCTATTCTAGTGCCCATCCCAGTGCTGCCAGTGCTTGTCCCAGTGCCACCGGTGCCTGTCCTGGTGCCACCGGTGCCCACTCCAGTGTCATTCTCACCCTGCCCTGGTGCTGCCAGTGCCTGTCCCGGTGCTGCTGGCACCTACCCCAGTGCCTGTCCTCGTGCCTGTCCCAGTGCCACCAGTGCACGTCCTGGTGTCTGTCCCAATGCTCCTGGTGCCCGTCCTGGTGCCACCGGCACCCAGCCCAGTGCCCGTCCTGGTGCCGCTGGCGCCTGCTTCGCTTTGCTCCTGTCCCTTCTCTCTTTCTGTCTCTCAGCCTTTGCTGCTGCCGGGGGGCTTTGGGGGGTTGGAGGGGCACAGCCGTGCTCCGCTGTGGGCACCGTGGTGTGGGGTGATGCTGCCCCCTAAAATAGGTGTGAGCTTGGTGGGGGTGGTGCCCCCCAACGTGGACAGGTGTCCCCCAAATCGGGCACAGCTTCGAGGGGGGAAGTGCCCCCTCAAAACAGGCATGAGCTGGGGGTGGGGATTCCCCCCCCAAATGGGCATCACCTTAGGGGAGACTGTGTCCTGAGCTGGGGGTGGTGCCCCCCAAATTCAGCATTACCTTGGGGGGGTGATTTCCCCAAAATGGGGGTGGTGTGCCCCCCAGAATGGGTATGACCCTGGGTGTATGATGTGCCCCAAATCAGGGGTGGTGCCCCCCAAAATTGGGGCGGTGCCATTTCCAAGGGGCATGACCTCAGTGGATGGTGTCCCCTAAATTGGGGACTGTGGCCCCTAACTCAGGCACAGCTTTGGGGGGGCACAGTGACCCCAAAATGGGGACCATACCCCCACATCAGGTACCGGGCTGGTGGTGATGGCCCTGAAAGGGGGGTGGTGCCCCAAAAATGGGTGCAAAACTGGGGGGGGGGGGGGGTGGGGGCGCCCCACGGGGGGCGGCGCCCCGC